TCCTTACCTCTGGAAGCGGGGTGCCGATCAAATCATCCGTAGATGTGTAAGTGAAGTTGAATTTCAATCTATTCTAGCATATTGTCACTCTTTTGCATGTGGAGGTCACTTTGGACCGAAGAGAACGGCTCGTAAGGTGCTAGAGAGTGGATTCTATTGGTCAACTCTATTCAAGGATGCCTACTCATTTTGTAAGTCATGTGATAAGTGTCAAAGAGTGGGTAATATCTCTCGTAGGGATCAAATGACTCAAACCCCAATGATTTTTGTTAAAATTTTTGACGTTTGGGGCATTGATTTTATGGGTCATTTTCCTTCGTCCTTTGGTTTTTTGTATATATTGCTTGCTATAGATTATGTTTCGAAGTGGGTAGAAGCAAAGACCACCCGTACTAATGATTCCAAAGTGGTTGCAGAATTCGTTAAGTCTAATATTTTTGTTCGCTTTGGGATGCCGCGAGCAATTGTAAGTGATCGGGGTACTCATTTCTGCAACAAAACGATCGCTGCAATTTTTAGGAGATATGGTGTCTTGCACAAAGTCTCTAAATCCTACCATCCTCAGACAAATGGTCAGGCGGAAGCATCGAACCGAGAGATCAAATCAATTCTAGAAAAGATGGTCCGACCCGATAGGAAGGATTGGAGTGTGAGACTAGAGGATGCACTATGGGCATATAGGACGGCATACAAGACACCTATTGGCATGTCCCCTTACCGATTGGTATTTGGAAAGCCATGTCATCTCCCGATAGAGTTTGAGCATAGAGCGTTTTGGGCGGTCAAGCAATGCAATATGGATATCGAGGAGGGCGGAATTCAAAGGAAGTTGCAATTACAAGAGTTGGAAGAAATCCGAAATGAAGCATACGAGAATGCAGTGATCTATAAAGAGAAGAATCGGATCTTTCATGACCAACAGATCTCTAGGAAGATATTCGTCTGCGGGCAAAAAGTTTTACTATACCACTCCAAATTGAAACTATTTCCAGGTAAATTACGTTCTCGTTGGATTGGCCCTTTTGTTGTGACTAATGTCTTTCATTATGGTGCAGTAGAGATCCAAATTTTGAAAACGGAGAAGAAATTTGTGGTGAATGGTCACCGTCTCAAGCCGTATTATGAAGGATTTCCAATTGAACGGGTGGAGATGATGCAACTGGAAGACCCGATTTGCTTAGTTTAAGCAAATTCTGGACACCGTCTAGCCAAAGACGTTAAAGAAAGGCGCTTTTGGGAGGCAACCCAATTTTTGATTTTGTTGGTTTTTGTTGTTCAATTCGTTAAATATGTCGTTTCTCATCTGGGTATTGCTTAAATTTGATATTTTCTCTACTATGATCAGGACAGGTGATCATGGCGTGCCCGCGCGGAGAGGGCACGCATTAATCTTACAAGTTCCAACTTCAAGGTCAGAGAATGTTTTCTAATCTTGGCGTGCCCATGCCATGTTTGACGAACTAAAAAAAAAAAAAAAAAACTGTAAGATCAAAAACTATTTTTTTTCCTTTCTTTTTCTCTTTTCTTTTTCTTTCTTTCTTTCTTCTTCTTTTCTTTCTTCTCTTTCCGCTGTCCCTTTCTTTTTCTTTCTTCTTCGGCTGCGAACCTCACCCCACCGCCGCCCACCGCCGCCACCCCAGGTCTCCTCCCTAAATCCTGCTCCACCGACGCCACCGCCGCTCCCTCGCGCGCGCCACCTGGAGCCCGCCGCTCCCTCGCGCGCGCTACCCCAACCCGTCGCCCACCACCCGCAGTCGCTAAGCACCACCAGATCCAGCTGCCGCAAACTCTTCTCTCTCACAGCCACCACCTTCATCGCACCACTGGCTTCGTATGCACGCGCCTGCCTCAATCTCTTTCTATTATTTTTTTTTATTTTTTTATTTTATTATTGCAGTATGTTTTTATTATTTTTATTACAGTACGTTTTTGAAAATTTTGCGTGTTTGGACTACCTGACATTTCTATTCATCCTTAGTTGGATACTTCTGTGTTATTTTGCCTGTTTCTTTTTACTTTGCTTGATTTTTATTTATTTAGTACAATTTGGAAAGAATGGTGAAACCACGATCCCGACCCTTTGACCTCCGCTCCGCCTCCTCCAACTACAGGTGCTAATAGCTGGCACCAGTTTCAGGGGAGTTTCGTTGTCCTTCTTCTTATTTTTACTGTTTCATTATCACATTGAGGGCAATGTGTGATTTAAGTGTGGGGGGGGATTTGGGTTTAGTTTTGATTGGTGTTTCTTTAATTTACTGCCTTTCTTACTAGTGTTTTGATGAATAAATATGGCAATTCATTCGTTTATTGCTGGTTGTGATTTATCCTATGAATTTTGTTTAGATGGCAAGTAAACGCATGTTATCTTGGTGAATATCATGAGTTTAATGACTTGGTGCAAATTGTGGTTAACTTGTTTAGGCAATTTAAATATTTTATTAGCAATTGTTATGTGGATTGGGTAATTGTTGATCTTAGTTCTCCATATTAGGAGATGACGTGGGCCATGATCTTTAATTATCTGGTATTCTGATACTTTAATTGTGATTAATAAATGACTCTACTCCGCTAGTGCCGTCACCCAGTAACCGGGAGTTTTCACCACAAGTGTCGACTTTCGCGTCAAAAAGTGGCGATATCTATGAGTAGTTAGTCCTGAAGCTGTGAAAAGTTGAGTAACTGGGCTCTTTCATCTAAAAATGTCAGAGTTCACGTCAAAAGACTTGAATAGCTTGGGACTGAGCATTTTTGAAAAAAAAAAATTAATTGTTAAAAAAAAAAAAAAGAGAGAGAGAATAAAATAATGTGTAAACTTATGATCATATTGGCCTGCCGATCCTTGTTCTTCAATGTTGAGATTTTGATTTTCAGTTGACCCAATTGCTAACTTTTGCTAGTTTAATATTTTAATTTCTTAGACGAGTTAGCCATGAATTGGACGAGTCTATGATTTCAGGAGCTAATCGGGAGAAATATGTCTTGACACTTAGCCACTAAAACTTGATTTTGGGATAAGCATAGCTTGGCAGTAAATGAAATGAGAGTTAGCCATTGTTGAATTTAGTTGTTCCCATGCTTGAGGACAAGCATGATTTAAGTGTGGGGGGAATTGATAGGATGTTAATTGTTAGTAATTTTATTGTTAATTCTCCTCTTTATCCTTGCCAAATATTGCTTTAATTGTCAATATATATTTATATTTGGTATTTGGATATAATTTCAGAAAGTGGAGCAGAAAAGTGCTAAAAGGGAACCTTCTTGAGAAGATCTCTCCACACGTGAAAGCTTCTAAAAGCTTTCCACAATCAGCCCAAATTGTGCAAACCAACGGAATTGCTGATGAAGAGTTGCCTTCCTATTATTAAGTCCTGACAAGTCCACTAGCAATAAGAAGTCAAAAGGAGAGAATTCTGCAGGGACCACGTAACATTGATTTAGAAAATGTGTTCTTCTTTTGGGAGATGTACTCATTAGCCATAGGTGGACTTTGATGATGAAAGTAGCTTTTCTATTTGCTTCCTACGTAACTAGTTCTCATATAAAACTAGTGCAGAGGAGAATGAGAGAGGGCCGGACATTTTACAGAATCAGTTTTTCTTCTTCTCTTCTGTCTGGGAAGAGAAGTTTTTAGTTTTGGGGGTGAAGATTTCTCGTGTGTCTTGTTTTCTTCCGTCTCTTCCATGAGACTATTTTTATTGTATTAGACTACAGAGAATACAATTCTTATTTTTAATTATTAGTAAGAGATAAATGTCTTTGAGTTCAATTAAATTGCGTGGGAATTTTCTTATGAGGCGTGGCTAATTTTCTCCTCTAGTCAAGGATCAACGCGAAGACGCAGTCCCAAATATCTGTGAGATCTAATTAATTTTACGTGTTCCTTAATTTGTTAATATTTGCATGTTTTCTATTTTAATTTCCATGGGATTATTTTGTTAATTGGATATCAAGGGACCGATGTGCAATTTGACTTATTAATCTCTTGTCAAATTAATCAATTAAATCCTTAATTGTTTAGTTGGTTAATATTAGTGACAACTAGTATTTTCACATACTAGGAGAACATGCAATCTGATTTAAATAACCCTCGTAGCGTGTTATTAATTTGGATTAGGCTTTTCTAGTTTTTAATGCAATTAGGAAATTAATTCCTACGGTCGTACCTAGGAGTATTTCCTGGTTAGGGGTAATCAATGGTCGTACCTTGGTTATCAATAAATTAAGGAAAAACTGGTCGTTAGAGTTTATCGGCGACTATAACTAGCCTATTAATTAAATTAAGTGAACCTTCTTTGCATCAATGATCGGATGAATGGACTGTGTCTGCGTAGTTGTATCCTTGGCTAGAATTTATTTATCATTTATTTAATTGCTATTTACAATTGTATTAATTAATTATTTATCTTTGGTTAAATTGTTTAATTATTTTTAGTTAAATTGTTTAATTATTTATTTTTAGTTTTATCTGATAAAAATCCCCCGTGTCCCGAACTTGAAAAGAATCGAATTTTTTCCAATCCCTGTGGATTCGACCCTACTCACTACTATACACAGAAAATTCATTTTTCTCGAGTAGATATTTATTATTGCACAGGCTCGACACCTGTCACCTTAACTGCAGTTGACATTTTAGCGCGAGATAAAACAACGTATAGCTGGCCATGCGAAAAAACAGGTTCGCGCAGATATATCTCTACACGATCCAATGTTTGACCCTGGGACTTATTGATCATCATGGCAAAGCAGAGCTTAATTGGGAACTGAATACGCTTAAAAGGAATTCCAATTTTCTCAGCATTAGATGTCTGCTGTGGAATTCTAGGCAAAACAACTTGTTTGCCTCGATGTTCACCCACTGCGATCTCAACAAAAAGAACATGCTATTTTAAGCTTTTGCAAATGAGTCTTGTCCCATTACATAATCCTTCTGTAGGATTTAAGTTCCTTAAAAGAATAATAGGACAGTTTTTTTTCAGGACTAATTTATGGGGAGGCAACCCTTATGGATTTAAAGAATTCAAGAAGTCTTGGTAGTCCTCTTGATCTCTTTCATTAAGAGTCCTATCAGTGCTCATATAAACATAGGCCTGTCCAGGGAAGCGATCAATCATCATTTCATTAATATCATCAACACAGGAGTTCTTTGGCGTAAGAACATATCTGTTAATCATCCTGTATGGATCTAATGAATAAAGGCAGAGATCGGAGAATACAAATCTACCAACCTGAGCATCCAAGAATAGGATCAGATGTGTATGAGTGTATATATATATGTACACACAAAATACACTTATAAGAGCAGCATGGTTTCAAGGGGAAAAAAGTTTTCTAACCTGTTCAGTGATTCATTTTTGTTACTGAACCGAATTAATAAATGCTGACATAAAGATACTTTCCCATCAAGATCTTCAGGTTCAAGGCCTTTACCAACTCTAAGAAGGAAATCTGAGTATGGAAGGTCTAGAATGGCTCGCATATTTTCTGATAAAGAAAGTTTTGTCAGAGTATTCCATAGAGGGGAATTTACAAAGCTAGCTTCGATCTGCTGGTCCCTAGATGCACTTGGTATAACAGGTAAAGTCTGACGAAAATCACCACCAAAAACTACTATTTTACCACCAAAAGGAATATCAGAATTCATCACATCTTTCAGTAATAGATCAAATGCTTCTACAGTATCCTTTTTAGCCATTGAAGCCTCATCCCAAAAGATTAACTTGGCTAGTGAAATAAGTTTAGCTACAGAGCTCTGCTTGCTAATTTGGCAGGTTCTGTTCATTGATACATCCAAGAGAATCTTGAATCTCGAATGAGCAGTCCTTCCTCCAGGAAGAATAGAAGCAGCAACGCCAGACGATGCAACTGCTATCGCAATATATCCCTGAGATCTAAGCGTTGCAAGAAGTGAACTATACAAGAAGGTTTTTCCAGTCCCCCAGGACCATCAACAAAAAAACTCTTATTCCCAGAAGAATAAACCTCAGCTAGAATATCATCATAAGCACGTTTCTGGCCTTCGTTCAATTTCGAAGATAAGAGTAAGTCTTCTTCCGTGAATGAAATGGTTCTCTCACTCTCTATCTCCTTTGTGAGCCGCTCATCACATACAAGAGAAAAGCCTTCAGGAACAAGATGGTAGTCATTCACATTCTTTCTTATTTGTTCTAAGATTCTATTTATATCCTGGAAAGTGCGGATTCTTATTTGAGTAGAATCATGATCAGTCAAATGCGAGTTTCTTCTTAAATCCTGGGAAAGCTCACCCTCGAACCTTTCCCAAAGAAGCCTTGGATTGCTGGGGAGCAATAGATTAAGAGAACCGCAAACAGAGTTCTAAGCGAGGATGGCATTTGAAATGTTGCTGCATCAGTAAGAGCATCCTCTATATATGTATCAGATTGGAGCAAGCCCATTTCGAAGGCAACTTCTCTATATGATAGGGCAATCTTACCATTGACAGTCAATAGATGCTCAAATGATGTTGGAGCATGGACATGAGATAGAAGTAATCGGAGATAATAACGTTCTCCCTCAGTTGGGCTAACAGTTACCAATCTGCCAATCACCATCCTTCGTTTCCTCCGAGTCCAGGTTTTTGTTTTAGGCTTCCAAACAAAAAACTCAGGGAAATCACGATAAAGGCAATTGAGGTTTTGAGCTATCTTATTGGTCTTATTCATGTGAAAGAATTGTGTGAGCATTGTCTTGCCAAAATCAGCACGATTCAAAAGATCAGCAAGATCTGAATGCATGTGAAACGAAATCATCTGATGGCCTGGAAGATGCACCTGAAGAGCGTAAACAGAAAGGGTCATTTCATTCAAAGAAAACCTATATATACACCAAAAGGCTTTTGCAGCTGCGACCCACTTCCCGGACTGGAAGTCATTAATCTCATCAACGTTTTCAGCAGCAGCACCACTATTTATATGAAAGCTAACACGGTCGTACCCTTTGTAGACGTATTTGTATAAATATTTGACTAACTTGACCGTTGAACAGATCTCAACGTTCATATGGCAGTCAAATAGTGCAAGAAGGTAAGGATTGTACGGCACAACCCAACGGTTGTCAAGGGCTTTATTTCGTACTCTTACAACGCGACCATTTTTCCTTCTTCTGTAATGTGGATAGCTATCCTCTGTATGGATAGTGTATTCACTGAAATCCTTGGGATAATGATTTCTGCACGTTCCATTTCTCATGCAAACATTATCTTTGTTCAGATGTCCACAAGGACCATGCATCATGTGTTTTGATGACAAGTGAATACAGGTATCTCTGCTGATCAGGATCCGGAATTTCAGCAAAAACAATTTTATCATAAGCTTCAGGATTCAACGGCTTATATTCAGGCTTAAGAATCAACAGCAAGTGAGCATGAGGTAGACCTCTTTTCTGAAACTTAATAACATGGACAAGTGCCTGGACTTCTCCAAAGATCTTTTTCTTTAGTGTCTCATATTTAAACATTTCGAACTTTGCTCTAAACACTCTAGATACTAAATCAGGCCTATCCTGTGCATCTTCTCCATACTTTAGATTTTCCTGAATCTCCTTCCAGTTAGTCTTACAAGTCATAGTAATAAAAATATCTTGGTCTGCCATATTTTTGAACTAAAGCCATAGCGTCTATGTAACGACGTCGCATGTCCCTTGGACCTCCAAGAAACGAAGCTGGAGATACACTCTTCGACCAACCTGACTTCCTTGCCGCTGTCCACCAGATATACTATCCATAACACCCTGTAGGATTTCTGTCCTGACGTCATTTTGTTTTTTCTATGGAAGTCAAGCCTAGATGTTTCAATTTTTACATAGACATCAATAGCAAACTATTGTAAGAGCCTCCTTGCATATAATAACATGGAACGATCATTTTCTCTCATCTGGAGCAAGTAACAATAATACTCTCTCACAGAAACAGTGCGGTATTCTTTGCTTCCTTTTTCAGAAGCTACATGAAAATGCACGTAAAAAAAAGCCATTACCTACAGCTCTGTATATAATTCACTAAAAGAACAAACGATAAGGCAAGCATATTAGTTTAGATAAACTTGCCTTCCTGTTCCAAGCGAATCAAATCCGAGGCAGTTTCTATCGAAGAAGAATCAATTAGATTGGCATCATCAGAAGTATCATATTTTCTTTTTCTTGAGTCAGAATTTCTTAGTATCCCATGACGCCAACCACACTCGCCGCGAGGAAATAGGAGTGGATACTGTAAAGGATCATAGTAGGAAAAATAGTGATGTATTCGATGGCTGGTGTTTGAATGTGAATAAACCTGAATCTGTGGACTTTTTTCAAATGGTTGGTCCTTAGATTCAGTCCAGATTGCAGCAACCTGGGATGCGGTTGGTAGATTATAGACCCTTTGATCTAAGCTAGGATTGGAGTTAAGAACAATCCTGTGGTTTTCCAGATCCTCAACTTCTCGCAGGCTTTTAAAGAATCTAGTGTAAGGATTAGATTCAAGAATACGCATTAAGAACTTCATAGTACTTTCACGAAGCCTAGGGGAATTACGAAGCCTTGTAGATAGCTCTTCTTGTTCATCAAAAAAATACACTGGATGCCTGTAGGGTGTTTGTTGGAGGAGATTAAGCTATCCAGTAAATGATAAACCTGACCCTGAACCCGAAAGGTATAAACTCCTTTGGTGTTCTTTGTAAGTTCATGGTCATACTTTGCACCAAAAGTAGTGAAGGCGACATTATTGTTATAAGTATGAATGTGTTTGCGAAACTCAACACTATCTTCATCTGTACCAGAAAAAGCCGATAAAGACTATAAGGCATGGCAGGCACAACAACAGAAACGTCACCACCCGTGCAACAGAAATTTGGAGGTTCCAAGTGAAACCTTTTTGCTCCATAATGCTGGCAGTTTGGAGCATTTGGTAACGCAAGAGAATGGTCAGGGACTTTTTCCAAGAGGGAGTACGCTGTGCGCCTAGTTTTTCTTTTTCTACTTATCGTGACAGTTGAGTAAAGGTCATTTAACAGAGGACTAAGGAACCAGCCTTGGCAGTAAAGGCAATCGGTATAAGTAGACAGAGCAATATTAAAAACGTTCACAAACCTTCCTTAAGAGCATGTGTATTAACAACGATCTGTGTATTGTTCTCAACACTAGATGATTCTTGATAAGTGACTAATTTACGTAATAATTGTATGATATTTTATATTATTTTTAGTCACTTTGGTTATATTATTGGAAGAATATGAATCATTTTGGCTATAATTGGTGAAAAATGCTTTTAAGTGATTAAATGAGGTTTTTATCACTTTTTACTTGGATTTTGTGTATTTTGACAGTTTTGACACATTTTCGTATTTCGGCTATAACTTGAGCTACAGTGATCGGATTAAGATGATTCTTGAACCAATTTGAAGATAAGAGATAGATCTACAACTTTGGTGAAGACATCTAAATCCAGTTTGAAGGTTTTCCAGGTCAAAATGCCGAATTACAATAGCAAATTTCTACTAGTCGAAACTGGAACAGGGCAATGAGCAGGTAAGGGTATTTCGGTCATTTCTCAGCCTACACAGATCCAAATGAGGTGATTCTTGATGCATTGGAAAGCTAACTCAAAGGGCTACAAGTTTTATGTTTTGGTCAAGAGCTAAATCAGCTTTTATCATCAAGAAAAGTTCAGTTGAAGTTGAGTCAAAATCGGAGCAGAGCTGGAAATTGAACCAGAAGTGACCAAATGGTCACTGTAGCAATCCGGCCGGAATTTGGCCGGATTTGTGGCCGGATTTCTGGCCGGATTGTGGTCAGAGAGGTCTGCTTTTTACGCGGAAAACTCAATTTCACCTCCACCAACTCACATGGGATGCTAGACATGTGAGAAACATCTCCAGCTGTAAAAGGAAGGTGGAGGCCTCATTTCTTGACCATCTTTCATCATAAAATAGCCAAGATTGCAATAGAAGGAGAGGGAAGAATAGAGAGCAAGACATAGAAGAGACATACGGGAGAAACTTGGTCTGCAACAATGTAGTTCTTTCATCTTCTTAGTAGTAGGTTAGTTTAGTTTAGCTAGTAGTTCATCCTTTCTTGTTATTAGCTAGGCAAAGATGAAGATGGAGGATGAAGAAGGCAAGGAGATGAACTCATGTGACAAGGGTTACATTCCTTCCAAACTCTTTATCTTTTGTACTTGATTCCAAGTTTAGTTAATATACAAGTTCTGGAATTTATGTCTATTATGTGTTTCTAAAGTTTAAGCCTTGGGTTTGGTTGAACTTTCTATAATTGTTAGTGTTTATTATTTGGTTATTTGACTGCTATAATTTGAGTAAGTTATTTAGTACTTTGGCTCTTTAAATCATGATTAATCTGGTACCATTGATTGTGATTATTTAAGGTGTTGTTTCTGCAATAGAAATTGAGATTTAACACTAGTTCAAGAAGTGCTAAACATAGGGAGTACACTCACGAAAGTAGAGGTGCACTTATGTGGTTTTTAGTGATTCATTTCATGTAATTTCATTGAAGAAATGAACTTGTAGCTAATTTCATAACCATGAAAATAGGTATGGATTAGTTATGAGTATAGTTGATTCACTACGAAAGTAGGTTTCACATGTTTAAGGAAATTACACCATAACTAGCCTAGATGTAGTATTCAATGATCCAAATATAGCACTTGCATGAGTAGTTAGGGATACCACAACCTAAGGAGCTTTCATTTGCTATTTTCTTGAATAATTTTAGTAGGTTTTAATTTGTTATAATTCATTGATAGTCTAAATAATAGAGAAACTTTAGTAATACCGGTAATTGTTCACTCTTCCCTGTGGGATCGACCCGATATATACCCTAAACTACTAGTTGATCTGTATACTTGCAGTGAACGGGTGTAATTCGGTATTTTTTAACTTGCATGTATGTAAAATACCCGTCAATTCTGCTCTACCTAAGTCAATAACACAAGTACCTTCTTCTATAGGAGGAACAGAAAGAGCTGGCAAAAAAGAGAATGAATTCGAGATAAGCACAGTGATAAAGAAATAGCACAGAAAAGCAGTCTCCAAAAGTAATGAGGATTGGCACTTGGAAAGAGAAAAACGAAGCAAAAAGAACAGGTAAGTATAGTGAACAAACAGGCACACTACCAAAAGGAGTATACCTTCTGACAGTGAAGACACAGCTGGAAGAACCACAGAAGGAAATGGCTCAGCAGACGATGATTGCGTATTAAGCTTAGAAGCAAGCTGGGCTGCGGTAGCATCAAGCACATCGTCACTAATAAGTACATGGTTATTAGGGGTGAGAGATTCCGTGGCAGACGCAGAAACACCATCCTGCTGGAAGTCTTTTGAGGCATCAATCATGCGTCTGCTTCGGCGACTCTTATATACCTTTTTTTGTCGAATAGAAGGAGGAGTAGTATGAGAAGGTACGCGGTTATCATGAGCAAAAGAATCAGAGATGAAAACAGACGAATCTGCTTGTTGCGACGCAGCCAAAGGATCTTTTTGATAATGTACACAGTTGTCTATCTGAGATGCACCGCGAGTGGCAGTAGCAGAAGCACGTCCATTATTTTTTTTCCTGCGTAGGCATCTCGCGTTGTAACAAGGCATCCTTTTTTCCTTTGTCCATGTTAGCATAACGCATGCGGCAGACAGAGTTGCGGTCCATGGAATTAGGAATCAAGATCTAGCTTGTAATAATTGAATAATACAGAACAAGACTCAGATAAAACGAAGACACAATCAGCAGCATATAAGGGTAAGTACAAGAAGCTATGATAGTTCGGGGAACGATATTGTGTAGGCGTGCACAAGCATTACACCCAAAAAAAATTAAAAAAATGGATATTCACTAAGAAAACAGCAGGTTGGCTAAAGGAACGATTCAAAGAAGAACTCTTAAAGATCATAATAAGCACCATACTTGAGACAATGACACAAACTGGAAGTAACGACAAGAGCAGTAAGAAGTCAAAAGAAGCTACACTGCAAAGGAGCAAAGAAGGGGGAAAAGAGATCACAACAACCACTAACGCAAAGTCAAAATAACGGTAAAAGAATAGGTTAAAAAAGTAAAAGAACGAATGCACAGAGACAAGCAGTAGAGCATCATACCCGAGAAAAGAGGATAGCAGGATTAAGAATAATGGATTCTGAATAGACAAATGAAACAGAGCTTCAACACAAAAGCAAGCAAAAGTGGTAATGCTTGCTGGCTAGAACGCTAAAGGGCACAAAAGTATGGAGCGAATACGGGAGAAACAAGAGACTCATCAACAAATTAAAGGGCATATAAGTTAGAGAAACATCCATACAAAGAAATAGAGCAGAGCAACGAAAGCTTTTGTATAAAGGCAAACAAAAAAAAAAGGGTTGTGCCGACAGAAAGTTAAAAATATAGTAGGTTGCTGAGTTTTTTTCCTCCTACACGGCTATCAATATTGCATGAAAACAGAAACGAACTACTGGCTTTGCATACGCAGGAACACAAGAAAAAATCACTGGACAAACAAGAGACTCATCTACAAACTAAACGGGCATATATGCTAGAGTTTTCGTACAAAGGGGGGAAAAAGGTTGTGTGTTGGGAGAAAGGTAAAAAAGAGGTAGCTAAACATATCCTTTTTTTTTTGTTACACAGATGGCAATATTGCATGAAAACAAAAACAAATTGACAGCGGACACAGCAAAAATGATCTAACAAGGCAGAAGACCTGAGAAATCCGGCGGAAAAAGGCAGGCCTAATAGCATTAGAGAGCATCCCAAAGTAAAGTCAACTTAACAAAGAGATGATACTAACAAAGAAATGATATCAGGAAGAGCGCACTTGACGGGACCTTATAGGGGAAGTTAGTAGTTCGGGACTGAAGTTTTTTTCTATGGAAGAGCAAAAAATAATTAGCTCACTGCATGAATCAGCGAAGTAGCAAACAGCAAAACTCTAACGAAAGCAAAAAGACACAAGGAGGGGAAAAAGTATCCCTATCTAAAAGCTCACAGCAGCTTATCTGAAAGAATGGGATCAAAAAAAATTCCAGACTAGGAGAGAAATGGTCAAATAAACAACCCTGCTAAGAGCAGCATTACTGCATTTCGAAGTAAAGAACACTGCCCAAAAAGTAAAAAGGTGTCAGCAGCAAGGCTTGTGCACAAAAGCGAAACTAAGCGAAAGGCATGGAAAAGATCAAAAAAATGAAAACATGTGAAAATTTCTTTTCTTACGCACGCATCCACGGTGCATGAAAAGAGTAATGAATGGAACTCCATTTGCCAACAAAATTACCTACGGTGCATGAAAAGAGCAATGCATGGATAGTGGATAGGGGAACCACTTTAATAAGGCCCAAAGACGTAGGTTTCGGCAAAAGACCGGGTGCAGAGCAGCCCAAAGGAAAATCACCCAAAAATGTATTCTTTTTTGTGAGAAAAAGAGACTTCGACGTAAGATTAATTTTTTTCCGAAGGCAAACAAGCAATGTGAATGAGCAGAAAGCCTAAAAAAAGCTATCCTTTTGGATTGCAGTAAATCCATTGCAATAAACGAATCGACATGGCTTATCTTGAGCCATGAAATCAAGATTAATATGCAGAGGATAATATGCTATCTTGAAGGGCCGTAATATTTTCTTTACAGGCCAAAGTAAAGACCTTTGAATACCGATTTAGTATGAGTAAAAAATGCAGGAAATGGCTGATAGACGGCCCAATCCAAGCTAAACAAGCACAAATTTTCAGCAGACACGCGAGGAGAGGAAAAGTCAGGTGCAAAAAACAGAGCAACATTTCCTGGCTAAGAACAAGGCCTGAGGTAATTTCCTGTAGAACAAGGTATAAGCTTGCTACAGAGAGAAGCACAACTAATTGAATAGTACATAATCCCTAAGAGCTATTACAAAATACGAGTTCGGAGATTCTCATGAGACAAAAAAAATAGCTCAATAAATAGCTTGACTAAGCTGGGTAGCAGGCAACAACAGTGTATGATGCGGATACGGGTGTGCAATAACTTCAATCTTGGGTCAAGGATCCTTTGGTCAAAATTGGTGGTCCGATGATAAGATCAAAATCCAAGAAGGTGAATGAAGCTTTACGAGCCTTGATCATTCACCATACAAGCAAGGAGCAAGCTAAGTTTGAAAATTTGCTGGACCATGAAGTTACCTTGTTTACTTGTACATTTGAAGTGAAAGAATGATCTCATAATTGTTAGTTTAGTTGGTAGTTGTCTTAAGATTGCCTAGTTTAGTAGTTGTTAGTCGTTGAGTATTTTTATTACTTATTGGGGCTTATCGGGAAGCTTTAAAGAGTTTGCTCTTTATACGGACCGAATTCCTATTCCAGGTTTATGTGGGCCGAATTTGCCCTAGTTTTAGCCTATAAAAGGCACCTATTGTATGAGCGAAATGACAGATTATTACAACTAGAAATCGTGAGAAATTTTTCTTCAAATTCTTAATCAAACTTACTCTTGAGTTCTTGAGTTTATAGCTTAGAATTCAAATCAGACTTTATCGATTAGTTTGTTTCCTAATCGTGGTGTCGCTTCATCCATCCTTATTTGCTTAAAGTTGCTGATTACGTTTGTGTGTCAGAGGTCTTGAATTCATGAGAACAATCGAGTTCAATTTCTGTTGGGAGAAAAGATCCAACTCTGATAATTACAAGGTTGGGAGGTTCTAGGAGGGTCTTCCCCTAGGGTTGCTCATCAGTTGGTAATCAGAGCTTCAGGTTAATTCTCTTTCATATGAAGTTGTTCATATCTTGTTAGTTTGCGTCTTTTGTCAAAAAAAAATACTATAGCGATTACTGTTCATCATTACTATAGCGATTACTGTTCATTGTACTGTAGCATATTGTTCATGTTACTGTTCATCCGAGTCAAAAAAAAATCTGTTCGGGTGTTGTCTTTTTGTGTTTTCTGTCCAAATTTTTGGGTCTGTTATACTTGTGTTTGGGTTATTAGGGTTTAAAGACAAAAAAAAAAAGAGTCACGTACCTTATATTGTTTTAATGTCCAAGTTGCTAGAGTATTGTTGGAATATTCTTTTGAGTATTGCTGAAATTCTGTTTTGCCTATTTCTTGAGTATTGGTTGTTGTTCTTGTAAACCTTAGACACCACAACATAAATTGGGGAAGTTCTTGAGTTTCTTGAACTAAATTTTGAAGTTCTTGGACCACGAAATCTTGTTTTGAACGTTCTTGAACAATAAATCAAGAACTAAGGTCTTCTTGGAATTTGCATAACCTTTCATCCGTTTTCTTGAACTTGTTGGTGTGACCTGAATTTGTGTTCCTTGAAGAGCCGAAGCAAAAAAAAAAAAAAAAGAAAAAAAAAAGAGAACGAAAAAAAACGAAGAAGAGAAAGAATCGACTCTCACATAAAGGAAATCAAGTATCTCAAATCTTGAGTTTTCAATTCTTGATTGGTTTTCAATTCTTGATTAGTCTCCAAATCTTGATTGGTTTCCCAAAACTTGAGTCACCAAATCTTGATTGGTTTCCAATTCTTGAGTTCCCAATCTTAATTGAATTCCAACAACCCCAAGCGACCTAACCAGACGCCAAACACCCCCAAATCAGTTTCCAAAATCAAACCTAAACCGCCACAAACACCTTAGCCAAATCGCCTTTAAATTCTTGGATTTCTAAAATCGGTTGAACTAGTCTTTGTGAGCCGATTTCCCTGAAATTTAAGGACTAATTCATACATTATTTGAGCACTCCAAAAGCACCATTTACCCTCCAAAGTACTGACCAGAAACTCAGCAAAACAACAGCTAAAAAAAAAATTCCATCTTCGGGTAGTGTTTTTCTAAGATTTGTAAAATTCTGCTTTGTGTCTTGTCACTTGCTTATAGAGTCATTAATTTTGGAATTTTGAGAGTTTTAGTTGTTTTAAGAACTTCGAGAAGGAAAATTGAGAGTGAGTGTGTTTTTCTTAAGTGATACACGAGTGCTTGCAAGGTAGACTAGGATACACTTGTTTTGCAGGTTGGACAATATGTCTCAAGAGGGGAACATGCCTGAGCCGTCTGAGACCGACGTGTCACTCAAACTGGTACTCAAAACTCTTCAAAAACAAGCGGAGAGATATGAATTTGTGATGACACAAATATCCGACAGGTTGACTGCCATTGAGATGCGAGATACCGAAGATACACACCATGGGGTTTCGAGTATTCAGAGTGCTGATCATGATGCGGATGATGAGGGATATCATTCTAACACCTCCTTTCGATCAAGGAAAAGCCAAAGACGAGCAAGGGAAGATCGAGACCGACCTAGGAGAACCGATGATAATCTTGGTTCCATCAAGACCAAGATGCCTACCTTTCATGGGAAAAATGATCCTGAAACTTACTTGGATTAGTTAGGCGAGTTGAGCAAGTGTTTGAAGTCCACAATTACTCTGAAGAGAAAAAGGTGAAACTTGCAGCTATTGAATTTCAAGATTATGCATCTATTTGGTGGGAGCAAGTATGTGCCACAAGGAGGAGAAATAGGGAACAACCGATTGACACTTGAACTGAAATGAAGCAAGTGATGAGGAAATGATTTGTACCCTTCTATTATCTCACAGACTTGTACAATCAGCTCCAACGACTCACT